TGGTGTGTGTGTGATATAATAATAATAATAATATATATATATATATATATATATATATATGTAAGAATGGGATTGGAAGGAGGATATTAAATAATTAATCTCGTAGATATCGATTTCGAATTTGATAGAAATTTGGGGAATATTTTGAAAAATGAATAAATTATGAATATTTAAAAAGTGGATTATTTAATTTTAACAGTTTCAAATCTAGATGATTGGTTGTAAAAATATCGTTTATTATATCGATATTTCTTTGGATGGACGAAAGTGGGAGAAAGCTTTTAACACCCCAATCAATAGGGTGGAATGGTTTTCACGTGACCAGTAAGGCAGGGTAGTTTCGACCTCGATTAAAAGGAACAGGTGAAAGATGCTTCTTATCTGGTTGGATACGTACTACACACATTCGCACTAGATTAGATTATTGGATTATTTCGAGGTCTTTCGAGGCGCAACGTTCCATAATACACGCCATTAAAGAGAAGAAAGATATAAGATGTAAGTAAGAAAAATATAATCGAGAGAGAGAGAGAGAGAGAGAGAGATAAATTTTAATTCCTCTTCCTTAATTGATTGGAGCGAAATTAAAGAAATGGAAATATACGTGGCGATGAATTTGCAAAGGATTTTTTTTTTTTTTTTTTTTCATTGGAAACGCGAGGACAGAGGGATGAACGATTTATATTTAATTGACGCTTTTTCCCACTTTTTCCCCCCAAGCTTCGAAATAATTCGTATCTTTCCATTTTATTTACCAGGTTGTTGCGGATGGAATGATTGAATTTTTAATAATATTTTCATAAAATGAAATTAGAATCATTCAGTATTATTCGAGAAAAGTCTTTCGTATTTTTATTAATTGTCGATTGAATATTTTTTAAATTTTTTACATTTCCAATTCGACATTTTTCGAAATCGGGAGAAATTTTTCAATTTATAAAGTTTCGACTTTTCACATTGCTTATTTTTCAATTAAATTCTTAGCTTTTTCCTACCTTCGAAGTTGAAAGCTTTTCAAGTTTCAAAGAAAAAGTTATTTCTTTGAAGAGGTAAAATAATGCTTCTAAATGCGTGGCAAATGATTCCACGTATAATCGACTATAATAATTCGAAAAGGAAATTAGAAAATATCTATAAAATCTGTAATAATAATAATCCAATCCAAACTACAAAACAAATTTAGAAAATTAAAGATAAAATCTAGAATATTCCAGAAATCATCTACGATATTCTAGAAATCTAAGAAATTCAAATTACGAAAACTGTTCGAATCTATTTGATAGTTAACAAATTTAAAGAATTTAGAATATAAGAAAGTCTATAAAATTTAGCCTATTCGAAAAATATACGATAACAATTCAAAGTTACAAATTGAACACTAGGCAAATTAACAAACATTATTAGAAAATCTAGGGGAATAAAAGAATCTATAAAATCTAGGGTGCACCAGAATTGTACGATAATAGTTCGACTTAACGTAACGATTAGAAATGAGAAAATTTAAAAAATCTAGGGTACTCTAGAAGCGAACGATTTGAATTCGATTGGAAAAATTTATAAAAATCTAGGGGAATAAAAGAATCTACGGAAATCTAAGGTTAATACCAACGGTGAATTTCAACAATCATTTCATACGCAACAAACGTTAATATTTCACGTTTTCTTTTTATTTTCCCCAATTGGATGAAACGAAAGGGCAATATCTCACTTCTGGCCTGGCCAAAGTGACCGTTCGCTGTCGGTTTAATTGCACCGTCGAAGCCTAATTGCCTGCAAACCACATTGGCCTCCAAGTAATCCCATTCGTCGTCGCACACGCTGCCCCATTTCCCGTCGTGAAGTATTTCCACGTTTCCTGCGTAACCAATCGAATTATGAGTTTGCACAAGCTGATTTTCCGGTTCCAACCGCGTGTCTGGCTAATGGCGGTATTTATGGGTTTGCCGCGATAATTGGCCATTTAAACGGTTGATCTTTCCTCGAGTGTCAATTACCTATTTAGATTTGTTCCGTTATTTTCCTTCATTTCTGAAATTCTTTTACGCGCGCTCCGAAGATTCTTTCGTTCGATTTTTCTTACGATTTTTCTCGAGTTTCCTCTGATTTTTCACACTCGATTTCCTATTTATTTTAGATTACTTAATAAAATATACAAAATTTTCAAAATAAAAATATTAGCGTAAGAAAAATTAAATCTATACGAAAATCTGTGCACGTACATGATTCGAAGAAGAATCGGTGACCGAAATAATAATAATAAAAAGAGATGAAAGACCGTGGCCGTGAAACGGGTTCGGAAGAAGGAGGAGAATTGGCGGAGAGATTAACCGTTATTCTGCGAATAGAGGGAAAAACGAGGGAGTAGAATCGAGACGAAACGGAATAGGGATGTTGGGTTGTAGGAATGTAATATCGAATGGAGGGGTAATAAAAATGGGCTCTATCCCGTTTTATGGCCCAATTTCACCGTTGGCCGTCTCTCGCGGTGACGTTTCACTTACGACTACACGCGCGCTCGTGTTCACATAAATCATCATCCTCGAGTTGACCCCTTTTTAATCGTCGATTGCGCTACTTATGCAAGAAAACGCGGCGTCTTTCACGTAACAGCGTCTATTCACGCGGAACGTTTACGTCAATCCGCCTCCACCCGGCGCCATTTTATTTTAATCGCGCGATATGATTGGCGCTGGTCAAGGATCGCTTAGCGAGGCGCGAAATTTCAAATTTTCGCCACGATTCGAGTTGCATAACCTCGGATTGAGTTGAATTTTTCCACGATTTTCAAAGAATTATCGGATTATTTTTTTAAAGTTGGTCGAAAAAAATTTGTTTGAAAATTTCTTTTGGCGAGAAAGAGGGACGATTTCAAGAAGAATCGTTACCTTCGTGTCCACCGTTCTCGCCGCCCACCAACTTCACGGCTCCTTCCTGCTTCTTCAACTTGCGGAAATCCTTCTTCAATTTCTTCACCAACCTCGCCTTCTTCTCGCGAATCTTGTCCCAGGTATCGTTATTCGCCGTGCAAGTATCCACCATCATCGCCAACATCATCGAAAATCCAACGACCAGAATCCTCCAATTCATCCTCGATCTCTTCATTTCTTCCTCCCGCTTTTCCTTTCCTTTCCTTCCTTTTCTTTTAAAGAAATGCTCGCCAACCAATTTTCATACCTTCAAATTTCAAAGAAGAGAGAAGCAAAAGAAAAAATGTTTTTCCTTCAAAATCGCTGAGGGAACGATCTTTCGAGGCTTTCGATCTCTCTCGATGCGACTCTCTCTCGTTCGTGATTAAAATCGAACCGCACGTGTATTTCGTTTACCGTACCGCAAGCTACTGATGCACGCCTCTGATCACGCGATGTAATATATTTGCTCCAGTTGTAAGACGAGCACAGCGATCTCGAGTGTTACGCGGTCGCCGCACATGGCGGATCGCTTTTTCCACCCTTCCCTTCCTTATTTTTTCCTCCTTTTTCTCCTTTTCCCTTCGCGGAAAATCCGCTAACTCGTGCAGCAACACGATAGAATTACCAGATTTTCGATCGATCAATCTGTCGAGGAGGAGGGCATTTTGCCGATTTCCAAATTATTTTCCAAAGCTTTGTGAAAATATTCAATTTTCGTGCTGCTTGTTATGATTGTAATACGTATCGATTTTTCGACTTTGCGATTGTGATGATCGATCTTGAAAGTTAATTCTAACAAATTTGAAACGAGAGGAAATAGTTGTTCTCTCGTTGAATGGGAGTAGGTTACGAGTTAAATCGGACGTTTTATCCGAATAAGTTTGCACGAAAGGCGTTTCAACAACAAGATGTTCGAAACAAAATTAGAATTCATCCAATAATCGTGTTAAATCTCCGGTTAAGAAAATGGAAAAAGTTTCTCGCGCTTCAACTTTACATTTCTCTTTCAATTCGAGCAATTAACGCGAAACTCGAGACACGCCGTTTTAAAAGGGAAGAAAAAAATCGTAAGATATTAACAGAATCTTAATCCAAATTCCTAAATATTTATATCTTATTAAATATATATTAAAATATTCCAAGTTTCGACGAATTTTGAAGAAAAAAAAAAAATAGCCATTATACGAATCTTCGAGTCGTCGAGGATTCGATCAGGTAAAACGAGCAACGAGTTTTCGAGGGGAATTTTTCGAATTCCACGGGCGCAACGTGGCGATCGGTTATCGAAGGATGGGCAGAAGCGCGAGCACGCGTTTTTTCCAACAGCGAATGCGAAGGGGAGAGCTCGCGTGTCCCCGGCAATTCGATCTCGAGAGAAAAAGATCCGCGGCTTGGAAAGCCTCTGCGGCCTGCGGAACGTGGTTCTCGTTATCCGATACACCGGTCTCGTATGATTACTCGTTGCACAATAGCCACTCCGATCGTTTATGACCCGAAAAATCCAGTTCGGAACGATTTGTAAAACTGACTTTTAACATCTATTTCGCAAAACGGAATTGTAATTTTTCTGAAATCATATTGCATGTTCAAATATTATATCGCACTTGAAAAAGCGAAGCTTCAACCAACTTTGTCGAAACTCTTTACGAAATTTGCTCACCATTACTTAACAACATTCCCGGGGGCTTAACCTCTCGCTGCTCTGTTAAAACGATTAAAAGAAAAAAAAGGAAAGACCTTGAATAGATTGAAATTGATCTGAAAAGTCAACAGAGGCCGGCAATTAAATTATCGGAATCAATGGACGCGTGGACTGGTTCGAGGACAACGATAAATTCAGAAATTTCCATCGGGAGAGACGAAGAAGCGAGCGTGCCTCTTTTTTCGCCGTTCTCCACTTGATCGTGACCTCACCATTGCCGCGATCACGAGGATGATGGCGAAAAGGAGAGAGAGAGAGAGAGAGAGAGAGAGAGAGAGAGAGAGAGAGAGAAGAAGATA